TAGTTGGGTACACGTCGCGAATACGAAATATTTTGCCAATGGCGACGATTCGTTTGATATCAATTTCGAATTGATGTTATTTAATTTTTTATCGACCGTCTAGACCGTCATGAAACGGTTTATCACCCCAGGAGTCTAGTGCGGTCGTACGGAGCGCCAATGTACTTGATTTAAATCTAATCCCTTTGAAATCGCAACGGTTATTATTACAACTCGATAGGTACTAAAAAAACAAAAACTAATGAATTTAAAATTGAATGAAAAAGTCAATATACCTACGTACATATTTTAATTTATTCTAAACAAACTTTCCGAATAATTGGTATAACAAATTTAAAATTCAGAATTATTAGTGCGCGGAGGGGTGAAACCGGGTATACGCAATTAAATTATTTATGCGTTTCGTTATGTTTTCACATTTGGCCAAATCGCATCACAGTAAATTATATACAGTTATACACATTGTACATTATACGACCAACTTTTCGTTTTTAATAATTGTAATATTCTTCAAACATTGATATTTTTAAACACAGTTTTGTTTTACGATTGTGTTTACCGGCGAAACAATAACTAACTGCCTTATTATTGTATTACGTACACATATACATAGAAAAAAAACCACTCCAGCGCAATATTTACATAAAAATTCATTTTCTCGATACGTATCGCCACAGAAACGAATAGAATTCAATGGAAATAAAATGTAGCTGCGTGTGTGGTGTATATAATGCGTGTGCGGTGTACGCCTGTATATTATACACTGTAGACACTGTTTTTTTTTCGACCGCAATGAATTGTGGGCCATTTTTCGTTTGCAACTTTACAACTAGTTATTCCCGGCTTTATCGATGTACGGGACCGAAAAAAATAAATTGATTCAAAATATGAATGGAAATGTTTCCATAATTTATTTTTGGAGACTTTATAGCGGTACCCGTCGTCCTAAATCCATGTACACGCATTATACATCGTACGCGTACGATATATAATATTATACACATATTTTATATATATATATATGATATGTATATATTATTATATCGAGCACACGCTAATATGTCATATAGAAGGTAGTTTATTTTTTCGCCTCAACCCGGGGATCGGTATCGAGCGCCGTACACACAGAGATGCCTTACATAATATACAAAGTGCAAACGTGATCCTTTAAGGGTTGGATCATTAAACAAGTATAATATTCTTGCCAACTTGTTGAAAGTCGCTACATATAGTATATATACTATATATATACATATATTTATATATTTATGTGTATATATATATATATAGAAGACCACGGCCAGACGTGTACGGTGTTTACAATCTCGAGTTAAAGCCAAGTAATCGTTATCAACATGATGGGTTTTCGGCGGTGGCGTTCGGACCGGAATCGATATATATATAGCCGGGCGAGGGAGGGTGAAACCAGTCGATACGAATCGCTTCGGAAATTCGTCTTTTGATGTTGTTTACACGGCTATTCTTCTCGTCTAAATGGATTCCTTTAAATTAACTGTATCGCACGCCGAAGGTGGGTGGGGGGTGTGGGGATAACGCGATTACATTACGACCGGCAGCGGCGGCGAGAGAAGAAGATCCGTCGTCACGCGGAGTTATTTCGCCGCTATAGAAATTAATCGACAATAAAATATGCCATCGTCGTCAAACCGACGTTGTTATCATCATTATTGTTTAACGTGCACCCGCCTAAGAATACGTCTCTGGCGCGATTAAAAAATAAAAATACTAAAAACGATACGATATTTTATCAGTTTGAAAGAGCGTTTGGTGTGTATACATAATATTGTTATTAAGTACACTAATACATAAAAAGGGGACGGAAAAAAAAAAACGAGAGAGGAAAAAAACGTGACTCTCGCCGTAATAGTTGGCGGCTGAAATCCGATGCCGGCATATTTCGTTGTTTTTAAGAGTGGAAGGAGATAGAGAGATAGAGACAGAGTGGCGGAGAGAGGTTGAGAGAGAGATGATTTCCGACGGGCGGACGCGTTTAACGCGTGACAGTAATTCGACGACGGGAAATCGACCACGGCCGTCCGGCTCCGCGGCGCGCATAACTCGAAACACACTCGTGTGGCGTGCCACGCGTGTTCGATATTATAGGTACCCACCTATAATACGGCCACACGCGGACGGTGTGCAGGTGTAACGCACATACGCTAATTGCAAGTATACGGTGCAGTTCATTTATTTATTTTTCTGCCTCGGAAAATTCGTCGTCGACCGAGGAGGACTCCGCGACTCCGACGGCGACTCGGCCGGTCTTGAACCGTCGGCGTGCCGGTCGGCAAACACGCGGAAGGTCTTTGGACAAATCAATAGCGGTGGCGAGGGGTGCGCAGGGCGAGTCCCCGCAGACGCAACGGCGAGCTACCCCTAACCCCCCCCCCCCGCCGCGGCCACGAGCCGGCGTGCGAGAGGCGACGGCGGACGGGCGGACGGGGCGCGCGAGGGTATGGCCAGTCGGGGTGGGTAGTCGAGGGGCCCAGGGGTCGGGGGTGGTAGGTATATACTCGAGCCGCGCGCGCCCCCGCCGCCCCCGCCGACGATCACCACACGCCGCCCCGCCGCAAACGCCGCCGCCGCAGGGGCGCGCTTTGCTCGCGCGAAACCGGGAAAAACCGCCGCCGCCGCCGCTCCCGATTATATTGCGCCGACCACGCCGTGCGCGCCACCAGTGCCGGATCGCCAGCGGACGTGTGTATGTGCGCGCTCGCTCGCCCGCTTGCCGCCGCCGACGACGACGACGACGACGCCGCTGCCGCCGCCCGAGACGCGAACACCTTTGCCGAGTCGCGACACTATAATATATGATATTGGTTATACGCGCGCGACCGCCAACCACCTGCCCGTTTTACATAATATAATATATTATTATTGTATACACGTTATAAACCGTTATAAAATTATACAAAGTCACACACATACATACACACACACCAACACGTATATTATATCTGTCGCAAACATGCATACACGTGTATTGAATTAAAATATTTTTTAACAGTAATAATATTATACAGACCGTACAGTCTCGTCGTTAAATTTCAGTCGGTTTTTTTTTTATTTTTATTTTTTTTTTTATTTTTATATGTGCGTTTTGATAAAAAAAATAATAATTGTAAAATTTTAATTGTTCTCGTCGCAGTTGAACACCGCGGCGTTATACGTCATTTATGTGCCGTAGATCACCATAAAACGTGATGTTCCGAGCGTGAAAAACAAAACAGACAAAGATTATAGCCGTCGCGTGTGCCACACAATACAATATTGTGTTATTTTAAATTGAACGCGCGCGTCATCGTCACAACAATAATATTATTATCGCCGTGTGACGGTGCAGTAATTACCGCTGCACAATCGTTATGTAATGGTTCGGGGGGGACGACGACGACGATCGCGACTCACACTAACCGCCGACGCTGGTAAATCAAAAAAGTTAATTAAACTTTTGGACTCTCGACGGCGACGTCGACGGCGGCGACGACGACAATGCGGCTCTCCTCTTCAACGGTGACACGCCGCTGTTGAACGAGTGTATCTGCTCCATCCGAGCGGTGGACATCGGTGCGTGGTCGCTGGATACACGGTTCAAAACTCCCCGGCGGAGGGACACGCGTTTCCGAAAAATATAAACAATATTATATTACGAACCAACAACGCCCCACCGAAATCGATTTTACTGTCAATGCAAACCATTGTACAAATATAAATACACCTCTCTTGTTGCACAACATCGATTTTCGTCATGCATAATAGTGGTGAAGAACGCAAAACGCATGCCGAACTTCTGCACCCCGTATTGTGTTTCGGTACTTTTTTTGTTTTCGCCCTATCGGCAAAAGCCTGACGTTCGTACGGTACGAATACGTGCGTTTTTTACGTTTTCGCCGCTTAAACGATAGCATCAGAGCCTCTCGTCCGGTACTCAATACGTTTCGCTGTACCGTCGACAGTTGATGAAATCAGATGCCAAAACGATGATACTTCGAGTCGAAGGTAAGTCACTTTCAAAATATTGTGCATACTTCTCAGACGTTCTTTACACGCTGTCGTTCGAAATTATAATATTTGGTCTGAACGTGTTGGTCTCGTTGAGTAAGCTAACATAATATTTATATATTTTTTTTTATTCCGATCCTGATTTTAGTACGGTCTATTTACCGGTATAAAAATATAAATTCCCGTTATTAGAGTTAAATCGACCGTCTTACTGGATTTGCCATTGGCCAATATATCCGGCGGTTATGGCCGTGTAAAATACGATGGTATATGGGAGGAGAGAGAGAGAAAGAGAGAATGAAAAAACCCAAGTTTGGTGAATCGAGATAGCTTATGACAGTAATTTATCATTATCGTCTCCCGAAATGCCGCCGTGCTCGATTATTTATGAAACCCAGTCATTTTGTGGTGACTGGGAAGTGCGTAGGGTTTTGGATGTTCTTAATTCACGCCTAAATATTTATTTTGCGGAAGCTTTTCTAAAAGATTAACTTTTAAAAAGCTACTTCTTTTGGCGTAACCGGCATCGGGTGTAAGTCACATAAAAAAAAAGTTACGACACTTAAATGGATATAAAAACCACACGTTCTACGTCAGTGACCTGACCGTGTTTATCTGTCATGAATTTATTTTTACACGCGTAAAGAACGTCCTGGTTGTAACGTGTATCCATCATAATTATTATTAATTTATTTTCGTTTTTATTATTTCAGCATTAAAGATAGTAATCAAAATATTTACGGTGTTGGCCAACCAACAAGCAGAATACTATTCACGACTGACCGATATTATGCACCGGCTTTAGCTACATCACCAACATGGAACCGGAACAAAATCGGAACGGTGGTGGCAGACCAACCACCACCGCCATCACCACCACCACCGCCACCGCCACTACTACAACCACAAACGCAACCGCTACTGTCTATGGCGACCAACAGGCTGTAGAGGCTGCACTAAATGAGTTCATCGATAAAATGACACCCCGCGTTAACGTGTTGGAGAACGAAGTGATGTACGCTTGGCGAGCTTTGGACTTATTGTCAGACGAGTACGTGAAAATGTGGGAGCGTATCGAAAAACTCGAAACCATTATTCAGAATCAACAGTCTGTCATCGGGCAAATGGTTGAGATATGTGCAGAGCCGATTACATCTCCGTCTACATACATGGGACCACCGGAAGTCGGTGACCGTCCCGCACTGAGTATGATATGGGAGGAATCGGAAGGCAGCAGTAGTAATGGTACTAAAAAGCCGTTGGAACAGAGGGACGTGGATTATAGAGCGTACGAAGACCGGCTGTTAAATGAAGACCAGGAAAAAATGGATTCCGTCGAGTCTGCCAAAGAGATTTTCGAAAATATAGAGCAAATGGAGAGAAACATGCGACAACTGTACGCCGAAGCGCAACTGGACAGTTGGAACGACGAGACGGAAAGAGCGGCAGCTGTTAGAGATTTTTATCCAATTAACAAGCCACTCACGTCATCGGTTGGAAACTTACAAAATCGTATGTATCCTTACACGTCTCCATCCATTCGATCGCTTCCCACTATCCCAAAATGCGAAGAACCCGGGTACAGGTCTCCGACGTTATTTATGGATACAACGTCACAATCAAATTACATGGACGACTCGTATCAGCCACAATCGCCACCCGGTAGTCCACCACCTCCAGCACCCGAGGATCCCGTATTTCCAAGATCGCTGTCATCCGCACTGTCACTGAGCCTGCGTCAATTTCACAATTCCAATAAAGAACTTGATTCGCTTCATCAGTTTCACAATTCCACTAAGGACCTGGACACCATGCACCAATTTCATAATTCCTCCAAAGACTTGGACACGTTACACCAACACCGAGCTGGTGCCATAGTCACGGCCAATAAATCCGATTCCGGTCTGTCGTCGATGAGTGGCGGGTTGTTGTCCAGCTATGAAAAATCTCCATGTTCACCAGGAAAGCGAGTATTTGATCAATCATATCAGATCTCGGTGGCTGGTCCATCCGGATTAACGGTAGTAACGTGCGTAACCACTGCATTTGACACCGATTATCCATACTATGATCGGTCGACAGGAGTGTATTCGACGGCAGGTCAAGGGTATAAGTACCAGACTACTAACGCACAACAGTCATCCATATCTAACGTACCGGACCTGTTGGACGTAATGTCGTACAAAGAATATAAAAAACCCACGGATAGACCATATTCTGGTATGACAGATGCTTTAACCTATTATCCAAGTACCATGAACGAAACGTACTATGGTAGAGAAAACGATAGGCCGGATAATAATCCAAGGTATAGGTATGTGACGACGCCTAACTTTCAGATCCGTTGTGAAGATGACGGTTTAAGAAGGGAAGAAAAAACGAAAAAATCCAAACGTAATATAATCAAATCAGCCATGAACTCGGTCAGTAGTTCGGTGAGCAATTGGTTTCCCGATGTGCACTTGCCCCAACGGCATCGATCTCATTCACTGCCGGGTGGCTTGGAAAGGGAACCCGATGCGGTGTCCGTACACAGTGAGACAGCGACCACATCGAAACCACGTAGTTGGAACACACAGAGGCACGGTAGTCGTAAGAAAAAAAAATCAATTGTGTCTACCATGTCTGGGCTGTTACATAAAACCGCTAAACCTGCCCCTTTTCAGAGCTCCTATTCAATAGCAGATCCGGAATTTGCGGAAAATGAATGGACTCAGATAAAAGCTGGAGATAGGCCAACGCCACCAGAACCACCACCACCACCACCACCCCTGCAACCTCCAGAGCCAGCTAACATTACCATAGAGCAGCAGGAGGAAGAGGCGCAAGAACAGATTAATGAAATTCAGTTACCAGCTGAAATGTTCAATGGCCCGACTAAAGAATTTGCAGTATCGAGAAAGTTGAGTAAATATAGAGAACACTGTAAGCTATCGAATGGAGTGCCAGAAGGGGAATCTTCAGTAATTCCAGTAGAAAAACGTAACAAATTATTAGAAGAACAGCCTGTTAAACCTCACGAAGAGTTTGTGCAGCCAACGAATAATATAAGAAATTTCAAAATGTCATCTAGACAAGCAAGTTTAGAGGTACCGTGGGCAGGGAAAGGATCTGCGGACACTGAAGATGATAGTAGAAGCAACCATTCGTGGAGAAGTACATCTAGAATTTCGTCAAGACGGCAAAGTACTGAAGAAAGCATCGATAGTGACGATGAATGGTATTGTTATGAACTAAAACAATTAGAAGAACTAGAGAAAAAAACACATTTTGAACGGGTATTTGGGCCACCTATGTTACCACCGCCCAGTGCTCGAAGTGAATCATCCATACTTATATCTAAAGTAGATTTTAAAGAAAAAATGTCTAAAGCCATTGAAGACATAAGACGACAATCAGTAGACGAATCGTTCAACGAGGACGCTTTCGAACAAGAGCAATCCTTGGATACTGTCATTGAAGAGGAATTAATACAAGACGACGGACCTATAAGGTTCAAGTTAATGAAAGTACCGGATACTCCGGGTGGCATTAGAAGGGATCTTCCAGGTCAAGACCTAGACCTGGAACCGGAACAGGAACCGGAACAGGAAACGGAAACGGCCGACGAACAAATGGTCGTTGAAGAGGATGAAAGTCCCGGTACACCGTCATTGCCCAGGTTTAAATTTGATAAAAACGATTTAGTAGATAAAGAAGAGAGTGGCAGTAAATGGAAAATCGTGAAAGCTCTCAAGGAAAAAAAACCCGACGAGATAAACCAGGATATTGGACCTCCACCTACTCCGATTATCGAGGTAAATTTAAAATATGTTTATTTATTTATTGTGTACTCTGATTTTAAATTTAAAACGATTTTCAGTTTGGATTGACTAGTTGTATATTTTTAAACAATGAAATATAATCACAGTAGTACATAAAATATAATAATAATACTGTGATATATAGTTGCCTATTTTATTTTAATGGATATTCAAATTAAACCATTATACTGTACTATTGTAGTTATATATTAAATTATATATTTAAAAGAAGATTTAATCGTAGTTCAAATAATGTAAATTTTGAAATTATATTAAGTGAAATGTTTATTACAATAATAATACGATACGTTCTATAATTATAAAATAAAAGAGATAAAATAGGTGCTTCTTGTCAAATAAATTAATATAAAAATAAAAATAAAAGTTTATAATATACATATAATTTTTATAACTAAATACAAAGTAGACACAATTCTGCACTCGCTTAAGCATAAAATTAATCAAATAAAGATTAAACCTTTTATACTCATGAAATATAAATTTGTATTATTACAAGCTAATAAAATTTTACGGTAACTGTTGAATTTTTTCCCTTTAAAAATATATCAATTTTTTTATCAAAATGTATTAACCCTTTGTTATTACTATAATTAAATCGTGAAAAAATAAGTAATAACTATATCTTATTGCTCACAAATTTACTGAAATAGTAAAAAAAAAAAAAATATTTTTATATTTATTTGGATAGTATTAAGATATTATTTTATATTTAAAATTATTAAAAAAAAAATGCCATAAGGCTTTAGTTTTATTAAAACTAATGTCTCTAAACCGATAAAGTATAACATAAATAACTTTAATATTATTATAAACTTTATTTGAAAAATATTTTATAGCCAAGTTTTAATTTATTTAAAGTTGATACAGTATCTTTACAAAATTCATTTCTTGAAAATGAAAAAACTCGGCTTATTATGAAACTTCTTATAAAGAATTAATGCATAAATATTATATTGAACCCAATGAACCGATGGTTTCTGTACATGGTTTTATTACTATGCACCTTTAACTATTATCTATAATATCAAGGGTATCTATAATCTAATTATCCATTTATAACTAATTTTCTAATTAGTATTTTCTAAAACCAAATGTTGTGTATTAAAATCAATGTAATCGTAATTTTTAAAAACTGAATTATTAATTTCCATTTAGTGTTAATTGGTTAGCTAGGTCGGTGGATAATATAATAATATTATATTATGTAATATCAAAGATAAAAATTAATAGATTAAGAATATTAAACTCGTAGGGAATAGGTTTTAGTTTTACGCCATTTTCACCCCGACGAATAGCAGCCGTTTTAGCCAAAGCTTTTCAATATACGTATAACAATATATTATAATATAGTCCTTGATTTTGTCCCCTAAATAAAAATAAAAAAAACCCCGTGAACAGAGAATAAGAACACGTCGAGCCCGTGTGTGACGAAATATTATGTACAACGCCGGTGTATTCCAATACCGAATGATTAAAGACCACCCAGAGAGGATCCCAATATTATTGTCGAGTTTTTATCACCGTTTATATACATTGACCCGGTACGACACCGCCTGAAGCATAACCGAGGTTATTGTTATTGTTATTAAGGATATAATCGACCGTTAAATTAATAATATTACCGTTATAGACGACGACGACATGGATCAGGGAGAGGTCGGCATCGGTCGGGGCTCCGTGCCCCTTGTCGTCGAATTAGCGCGGCGCGTTACCAACACGTGCGGGACGTGCCTCGATCAATCGAATTTCGGCCGTCGTCGGGCAATAAATATTTACCCTGATGCAATTATAATTTAGACAATGTATATAAATCGAAACAAGATAACCGAGGTCACGTATAATAATATGATGATGGCGTTATAATATTATTAGTATTATTACTACGAATGTACGCGAGCGCGGTGTCTGCGTAGGTGCGCTGCTGCAGTGGAAAACGCATTCACTCCGGGTCACGGGAAAACCATTAATATTAATTGATTTCGGTAGAATATGTAGGAGGACGACGACGACAACGATGACGATGGTGATGATGATGATGATGACGATGATCCATATTTAATCTGCAACCGAATTTCGAGTGTGCATTTATTTTTATTATTATTATTGTTATCGCCGATATTTTTGCCATCGTTATTGTTATAATTATTTTTTTACCATTTTTTTTTTTCATTTTTGCTCTCCCCCACGTGTGTCGAGGGTGTGCAAAACGCACTAAAAACCTACCCTAACCTACAACACACAAATTAATATTCAAAACGTAATTTAATTTTTGGCCGGCCGCATAATCATATTTAACATATTGTCTTTCGAAATTAGTTCATGCGCGTTTGTCGAAAACGTTTCGAGCACCTTTTAACGGTTCCCCGTGGCAAAATAAACACGGCGTAGTAGTAGTAGGTAACTCAATATAATAATATCGCATGTGTACCTATACAAATTTAAAAGCAACGTCTGGGCGGGAGTGTGTGCGGGATTAAACGGATTACGTAGCTCAATCAGATTAACAATTACGGTCGCGAGTAGGGCAGGTAAAAAAAAATTTGCCAACGGGTGTGTCAAAATAATATATATTTAAACAACAATGCTCTCTGTATAACATGTACACTGCACAGTCATTGTTGGCTTCGCGCCACGATGATCAAAATACCGTGTAACACGGCGCAGTGTGTATGCAAAACTAATTCCGTCCGTGTCGAAATCAACGTACCTTTGTGTGCGGTGGTTTTTTTTTTTATTTATCATCAATTATTTCACTCGCCGTTTTCCGCCCCCAGTGCGTAAGTCGTGGTGCACAACACACATGATAATATAATACTACTACATAATATTATTATACTACGCTATATACCTATCGTTTGAAGTATATTTCTGCAGAATGTGCCCGAGGTTTCGTTCCACTAATAATTTATTAAACGGTTGGTCGATTCAAAAGCGGCAGTCGTTAACGTGATAATATTATAATGTTATTATATTACGCCAAAACCAAACGTATTGATTTGGTTCTCAAATTTGAGCATTATCATATTTCGTACGACGTGTTATGCACACATTGTATATTATGCATAAGCGGATGTAATTGATTCAAAACAATTTTGTTTTCGAATTAATAAACATTTAGATTGAAAACTCCACAGGTGATATTTAATTATAATATACACAAAACGTAAGGTTACGAAATAGTACTCATGATAAGGTGTACGGATCTCTGGCTGTAAGTGCTCAGAGGGAGATATTGATTTTAATATAAATATTAGGAACGCGTGATTTTTAGGTCAGTGGAAAAGTTCTAAAAGTCTTACACGATGATAGATGTTAGGAAACAAACACATTTTGTATTTCAAGCTTCAATTATAATTATAAAACAATGAAATCAACAAAAAAATAAAATTAAAAATATTTATCTTCCGTTTTCCTAAAATATTTCAGATTGATATTGTAACAATATTTTTTTAAAACTAAAGATTAATAAATTTGTCAATCAATTCAATTAGACTGTAAATTCGTGCTTCGATTTTTTTTCTATTTATAAGAATATCAATAGGATATGAAAAAAAAATAGCACTGTGTCGAGTTCAAGTATAACTTATAACCCACTAATATACATATTTATACATTTAAAATTATGGTAGGTATTTATATATTTTAATAATAAATATTAAATGTGCACTGATTATGTTCTACATCTCGATTTATATCAATTTCTGTAGGACTACGTTAACTACCCAATTTTAAAGATACGATATTATTAAAGCTATAATGGGATAACTCTTAAACGAGAAAATGTAATATACAGGGCTAGGGTGACTTGCTGGAGTGGGTGTCATTAAATTTGAAAGGAATGATATATATCATTGTATTTGGAAAACCATTCTGAGCGAAGCTCTAAACGGGTGCTTGATTACATTTCTTCACAGCTCTTTTCGCAGTTCTTCGCGATTTTCTGAAATTGGCTCATCTAAAGTGCAATCAGTGTTCAATCAAAGCTGCTGTGTAAAACTTTTTTTTAGCTTTTAGCTGTCCAAAAAACTATTCACCAAAAAATAAAAATCCCAATATCACTGAAACACCAATATATAGGTATTCTTACTTTTTCAGATGGACAAGACAGTAATATTACATATTATTTGAATATGATATGCACACATTTGATGTTAAAGTTATGTGTGATGCATTTATAAATTAATAAGCTAAATTTCCAATCAAACTTACGTCAATAAACGGACTCTGTAGTCAACCTCTAAGGAAAATTAAAGCACAGCTTAAGGACGCTAAAATAGAAAAAAAATTAAAAAAACTAATAATATGTCAAACATTTTAGATTGCTTAATTATTATTCATTATTTTCCTAAAAAATATTAAGAAATACCAAAAATTATGTCTCTGTAGTTAAAATTAGCGCAAATACATACCAAAAAAATATCAGTCATTTTCACGTTCCATCAATAGTTTTAATTGAAGATATTAATGGATTCCGTAGACAATTTTTATTTAATTAAGATTAAACTTTAATAATTACGGTTATTAATCATTATTTTTCAAATACACTTAATATTACTTCATTAGTTTTTAATTTAAAGTTTTGTTAATATTCTCTTATATACTTGATCTATAAATCATTAATTAATAAATAAAGTAACTTAACTGTGTCCCACAATTTATCTTCAAACAATTACTGTCATACGACCATGTTTTTGTTAGGTATATTTATGGTGTTTGAATTTCATAAAATTATTTTAGTTTTAGAAAAACTTGGTAAAATTGCATTTAGTAACAATGTCAAGATAGTATATACTTATATATTGTTTTATATTTTATATTATAATTGGTAATTTTTTTCATAAAAAAAAATCTATAATAATATTATAGAATAATATACAAACTTGTCATAGATTTCGCGGTTATTCTTTTATATTCGTTAAATTGAATTTGAACGTGTCGAAAAGCGTAGAAACTGTCAACACGAAACGTGCGAA